AATGAATGACAAAGGGAAGGAATCACTATTCTTTTAATGTCACTTCACATTGTCTCAGTTGATGACAGATACTCATAAAAGACAAACTTTAGTTTTCTAATTGCCACATAACAGCACTAACCTAAAATTATTAAGAGAAGCTGAGTCTGAGTAGCTTTTCATCCTTCCTGAGAATTCAGAGCTTTGTTGAACTCCAATTACCTGTCATCCATGCAAAGATGGAAACTAATACTGCTGACATTCTGCAGATGTTATCATGGCAAATCTCTCCCCATCTTGTATGAAATAGGTGCAATAATACAGGAACTCTCATCAAAGATGGCTGAAGAAAGACATCCTCAGCTATAGTGAAGCTGAGAGCACAACAACTTACAGCCAGATGGACCACAAAGCCAACCTATTCACTCATTGCCTCACCCTGTACCACAAACCTGGGGTCATCTTGCCTCACTGTAAAAATCAAAAAAGGGGAAAAGTGCAGGTACAGGCATGATTGGGCTTACATACTCTGTAGTTCCAGCTCTGTCATATAGAGCCATCTTTAAAAAAAAATGGAAAGAAAACTTTTACCACTTTTTTAAAATGAATGAATGCCAAACTAGAAAGCATTTCTCTATTTCCAAAAACCTTTTAGCCCTTTTCTGTCTGTGATATCCTACTTGATTTGAGATAACAATTAGTTACTCTTCCATATAGCTGCTGAAAATTTTAGAGATGCTAAAGATGCAATGCATAATCAGATTCTTTGACCCACAGAGCCATAAACCCTTATCCTACCCCCATCCAGTGTGTGCCAGCCAGCACAGTACCAAGTGAAGAAGAACAGGGTTAGTGCAATTTCCTTCCCACTTCTGAATTCCTCCCACAGACCAAGTGGCACACTAGAGCTGGCTACAAACACAGGGAATTTGGCCTGAGAAAAGCCTATAGAATTTTGGAATTTTAACAGCTGGTGAGCAACAGTGTTTTGATACATTTTTAAAAATGGTCTTAGAAATTCTAAAATGAGCAGGACTATTTTCTGACCTCAGACAACATATTGGCAAACAGAAGGATAACATGCAACTTCTAATTTTTAAGAAATATTATTTTTAATAAAATCTTAAGCCTTTTGCCAGTCAAGTATCCTCTCTCTTTGTCCTCTCCAGGCAACTGTGACCACAGTCATCTCTATTCAGCAGTTATATATCACCCAAGCACTTTACCATCCATAGAGACAGGGAAGCACCTCAAATGTAGAAATAGGAGGAGGAGTCAGGGTCTTGGCTTATAGCTACAACAGCCTCTAATGCGCCACCTCCCAGGCAATGTGGAGGAGAGGCTGTGGTCAGAGTTGTCTGTGCTGCCACTGAGGGCTCCTACTGATATTCACTAACCAGGCCCTATGCTGCTTGGCTTTGCAGGGATCTTCACCGTGGCAATGAAAAGCCCATGTGCAATCTAGCAAGAAGACCACTCTTGGTAAGCAGAAAACCTCAGGGATGTAAAAATCTGTTCTTCTACATCCCTTGGTATGGAAACCCTGGCCTAATCACTCATCCAAACCCACATGTGTAAAATTACTAATGACGATGATGATGTACATGATAAAAATATCAGTTAACATTTACTGGTGTTCACTCTATGGTAATTACTGATAGGAAATATCATTGTATGTGTGTATGTGTATGTGTTAATTTTATTTGTCTGAGATGAAGTTTCTTAATCCACCACCTCAGTCATGCTTACACTTAAGACTCCTGACCATCCTAATCTTAGTCTTTTCCAATATATTTTATTAATTTCAGTCCTTTTCAAATAATCAGTATCCGAGGAATGTACTACACTCAACCTTTTTTTTTCCCTTTCCACATTTTTTATTCATGCATTATAGTTTCACATAATGATGGGATTTTTTGTTACCTATTGGTTCATGCACACAATGTAACCATATAATTTGGCCAATATTCCTCCCAGCATGTCCCCTCTCCCTCCCCTCTTCCCACCCAGTGGTCTCTTTCCTCTACTGATCTCCCTTTGATTTTCATGAGATCCCTGGCCCACACTACCTTTCTTTTCCTTTTTCCTCTCTGGTTTCTACGTATGAGAGAAAACACTTCATGTGTTTTTGTAAAAAACCCTTGTTCATCAAGGTGCAATCAACAGAGCAAAGGTCTCTGAGTCAAACAGATATGGAGTCAGACTCCTGCTGTGCCACTAAAGAGCTCAGTGACCTTGAAGAAGTCCTTTAGCCTCTTTGGGCTTTTTGTCATCTGATAAATGGGGATGCTTTTGTTCAAAGAGAGTACAAGTTTGCAGAGAAATACCAAGATAGCAACTTGAAAGCTCATCATGAATTGGAATGCACTTGCCACACAGATCCTGGGTCAAATATACATCTGGTTCATGGCTGACCTAGAACTAAGCCAAAGAGTTTAAATTTCCAAACCCAAAAGACAGGGATGTTGTTACCGTCAGTTCAGCAGAGCACAGACCATCAGCTGGCAGGGAGAGGCTGCTCTACCCAGGAACATCACCGGGAAGGCAGACTCATATCCTGAGACCAGCATCTCACCTTTATGAATTATCGCCAATGCAGCTGCCTTTGCTGTTCCATTGTCAGCTCCCACACATACATGAAGGCTCACATACACCCTCTGGGTCACATACATGCATGCACACTTTGGCTCTTATAGATTATCAGAACTCATAGAACTGGTCCTGCGGGCAGGGATCTGTTAGCACCTTGGGAAATTCTGGAACCCTTAGGCTATCACTATTCTTCAAGATGAATATTTCTGGAGGTGGACGGGAATTAATGAAATAAAGAGGTTCCCTTGAGGTAGCAATGTATTTCTCCTATAAATTTTATTTCATTTTTGCAAATACTGTAAAATCCAGTAACTCCGGCTTTTTAAAACGTGGTTCTTTTTTAATTAGACTAGATGGCACTGTGGTATCACCCTTTTAATGCCCAATAATACCCTATTCTATTACAAATAATTTTGCTTCAATTGGGACAATCCAAGAAGCATTTAAGGGACCCTGGTTTTCTTATGGATAATGTCTGGAGGAATCTGTCAAAGGACAATAACTAACAAACAGATAATTCAGACTACATTAATAATGTGTGTTTACAGACATCACATCCTGACCTACATGATCAAAAGAATTAGTAAAGACACATGTGCCCTGTGGAACTCCAGACAAAGCTGTGGCTTCCATGGTGGCTAAGACCTTGTTTCTATTTCTCTATCATGGTCATGGCTATGAAATTCTAGTTTTGCCCTAATGATGTTTTTAATATCACCACCACCCCTCAGTACACCTACAAGCTCTGTCAGCATGAGATTATTTTCAATAGTGCCAAATTGTTTGAGACCATTTTAAACACCAGAATCATCTTGTGACAATGACTTACACAATTCTTGCAAAGGATTGAGTGGCCACCTTCCTGGGGCCAAGACTCTCTTATGATAGAAAAACAAATCTGTTAGTCTAGAAAGGAAAAAAATGAAAATTCAACAGATTCTGTCAGAATTCTGGCATTTGAGAAAGGCCACTATAAACTGAGGGAAGGGAAAAATAGGGCAGGAGGACGACAGTGAACAGGAAATCAGAGGGCTCCATTGCTGCATGCAGCTAGACAGAAGAAACCACACTGACCATTGCATCCCAACATACATCTGCAAAAAAACAGTGCCTGGTCCAGGACACTGAGGGGCTCCCACGTGGGGGAGAGAAAGAGGGGTGTTGGCAGGCAGCCATAGTCACCCAAATGGGGACATAGGGAATACAGCCATATCCTTGACCACCTAGAGACCCCCAGTTCAGGGGTTCAACTAAACTGCACCTTATCCATTCCCAAGACTCCCTGCCCCAACAGAGATTTGTTTCAGGGATATCTGTGAAATAGTAGTCCCCCCTTATCCCCCACCCCCCCAAGCAACTTCACCTCAATGTTCCCTTTAGAGCATTTCATGACCTCCAGCAAGTGGACACTGCAGTTGAGAGAAAATTCTCTGCTTCTGGTTACAGACTATTCATAAATCAGCTTTCTTTGCATCAGTCCCAAGCTCCCAGAAACTGGACTGGCCACCCTCGGTGCTGAGGCTCAAGCATTTTTGAGAAGTTCCTAGTGTCTGAACGCCCTCATGGGGTCCAGGGCAGCCTCCCAAACCGCCTCTGGGACCACGGGATTCCCCTTGCACTCTGCAAAGCACCGCGGTTGCCCAGTGAGTAGCCAGTGGCGAGAGGAACAACTGAGAACTAGGAACTCTCCTCGAGTGTCTGCAAACAGTGGTGGAGGGACCCCCACTATTCCGGGAAAAGCGGGGCATGGAAGGGGAGGCAATAAAAGTCGTGCAGAAAAGACAGAAAAGCTGAAAAAGAGCAAAGAAAAAACGGAGAGAGCAAAACAGAAGAAAAGCTAGCAAGCAGGAGCAGATAAGATCTGGAACACAAGAGAGAAAGAATTTTCTCGCTAAAGGAATCAAGAAAAAAGGGTGGAAGAGAATGCGGGCACTTGAGAAGGAGGAAGAAAACACAGAAAGGAGATTTCAGAGCCCGGTGTAGAGAGGAGAGGAAAAAGAGGAGAGACTTAGGGACATTATATGAAAAGCGCAGTTTTTCAAGGCTCTCTAGTGCTGATCTGAGTGTGGTGTCCTGTCCTGGTGGAGGCTTAGGGAACACTCATTCAGGGCCACTCGGCTGGTTTCCCCCGCACGTACTCCCCATCACCAAACAGGCCAACCTTTGGACAGACAGGCGGGCCATCCCTGGCCAGAACAGAAAGGCTTCCTGAGGACGCCACAGCGCCGCAAAGGGGTGGGGGGAGTAAGCCAGGATGCACAGAGCCTGAAGAGACCTGGCGCCAAGGTGCGCCTTGAGTCCCTAGCAGCAGCCAGCAGCGGCCAGCAGCGGCCAGCAGCGGCCAGCAGAGCCTTCCCGCCCTTGGCCCGCGCAGGCCCAGGTGCATTCTGGCGCTTCAGGGGCCCGCATGGTCGCGGGCAAACACTCACCTGGACGGTCTCATCCTCGCGTCGCGCTTGCCGTCCACCACCGCAGGCACGCAGCTCGTGAGCTCGGTCCAGTCAGCGTGCAGCCCGCAGCTCCAGCCAGTGGAGAACCTGGAGAACAGCCAGGTCTCCCGCTTACCCGGTCGGTGGCAAGTGCATTTCTTCTGACCCACGCGGCACTCGCAAGGCTGCTCCAGCTGGATGTTGCGCACCAGGTGGCGGCCGAAAGTGGTGCCTCCGGTCTTTTGGATGTGCAGGAATACGATCAGGTCATCGCCCTTGATGTCGAAGTCTACCTTGCGCAGGAGGTCGCCACGGCTGAAATTGTAGCGGGGCACGAACCTGGCGGAGCTTTCATCCTCCGAGCGGTACGGGTCCGGCACCGGGGAGCTGAACGCTTGCAGGCGGAGGAGCTGGCATTCTGTGCCGGGGCACACGTATTGGAGGACGATCACGGCAAATAGGAAGAGCATCACCAAAGCCAGCAGCAGCTTGTTGGATTTCTCATCCATGTTCCCGACGCTGGGGGAAACCCAAGCTCGTTACGTCAATCCCGCAGCTCAGCCCGCGCTTACCGTGCGCCCGCACCGCCCCCTCCCCCTGGAGCCGCCGTTGCGCCCCTTTCCCCCTCCAGTCCTCACCGAGTACTCCACCGCGGCAGCGGCTGTGGAGGCGCCCTTCCCCGTTTCCTTCCTTCCCGGCAGGCTAAGCGCTGTGGCTTCTGCCGCACACCCCCCCCTTCACCCCGACTCCTTCCCGCTGGCCGCCTGCCCCCTCCGGCTGCCTAAGGTCGCCCGAGCCCCTGCAAGAGGTTTTGTGTCCTCAGGACCCCTCCTGTACCCGTCGCCTGGCTCCCCAACTCACACCCTGCGTCCGGTCCCCCATGCTTCTGACTCCACTCTCAGGGGCTCCTATCCCCACCGTGCTTCGCCCACTGGACTCTCCCCGTTCTTCTGACCCCAGCCCCCTTGGCGCGCACGCTGCTGCCTGCCCAACTAGCGGGCTCCCACCCCGCGCGTCCCAAATCCCAGCTCCCGCGCGCCTCGGTAGCCCACCCAGGTGGCCGCTTCGAGGGAGCTCAGAGCCCGGGTTTCGGAGTTCCCGTGGGGGGAAGGAGTCCTCCGGCAGCCCGACTAGCAAACGGAGACACTGCGCTGCCTATGCCCGCGGAACAACGGGACAGGAGCCGCAGCGTGGTCAATTGCGCGCAGCTCAGGTCCGGAGCCCCCAAGACCGGCCACCACCGGCTAGCTGGAACTTTGCGCCCTTCCCTCCCTTCTCCCCTGCCTTCCCTCCCTTCTCCCCTGCCTTTCCTCCCCCTATGGCCCCTGCGCGCTCTGGCCGGAGAGAGCGAACCCAGCTTTCGCCTAGAACGTACCTGGCCAAAGGGCCGAAAATCTTGGAGAAGATCGCACTGAGCACGTGCTTCAGTGAGTGGCCCAGGGCGGCCAGGCCCCGAGTGAGCAGGGCCMGGCAGAGGGAGCCCAGGTCCCAGCGTCGCCTGAGGTCGCGCATCCGCCTGCGGCGGCCTCGGGGCAGCAGCGCGAAGAGCGGGGCGTGCACGGCTCCCGCCAGGGAGGAAGACGCCTTTAGGGGCTCGTCCAGGAGCGGCTGGGAGTTGAATCCGTGAGACACACCCCTAGGAGGGCCCACGCGGACTGAGGCAGCGACCGACCCAGGCCGGCTCACTGCCAATTCGGCCTCTACTCTGGAATGACGACGAGGACAGGTGGTGCGGGCGGGCGCTCCTTGCTCCGGTTGCAGCGGTGGCCCGAGCGCCCGGGCTGCAAACGCAGGCAGTGCCATTCCCCCCTTCAGGCAACTCAGGGTACTAAGGATCTGGAGCGAGCTTGAATTTATATAATAATGCCTCACACCCAAGAGCTGGAGCCACTTCGCAAGCAGAGGACCTGGGTTTTCTCCTATCTTGGAGAACAGAGGTCACTCCAGAGAGCGCATCTATTTTGGCTCGTAATTTCAACCTCCCCTAAAATAGCAAAGGCGCAAATTGGACCTTTTCCCTCTCTCTTTGCCAATTTCCATTCTCCAACGGAAGCAGGAGCATTTTCTGAAGAGGTAAGTCAGCATGAAAAAGAAAGCATGACCAAAGAAACATTAAAGAAGGGGAATCTGAGCATTTTCAAAGCAGATTCGCTCTTCCCTCCTTGCTGAATCCCCAGCACAGAGCCCTGTGCCTGCAGAAAGGCTTCACTCAGTAGGATCCACTGAATAAATGGATACGTAACTAAATGTGACATCAGAGTGAGACCATCTAATCAAAAGTGATATGATACAAGAGGAAACTGAGGCTTACAGAGCACTGGCTCAGAGAGGACTAGGGATGTGTCCAGAGTCACAGAGAAAAGCCCCAGGGTTTAATTCCAGAAAACCAGGTATTATTCACCCATTCCCTCATTAGAACACCGTGTCTTTTAATAAATACAGATTGTAATTAGATATTTTAGATACAGATTGTAATCAAGCTATGTTGTCCAAAAGGCTCTTTTCTGCTGCGGGACCAGGGATGAAGGGATTGACAAGGAGAGAATGGATGTCCCTTCAAGACAAGGACCCTGGAAACTTAGGACTCTATTGTCCTCTTCTAATTAATGGGGGCTCTTGCTGTACATCAGGACTCTCAGTTTTCGTACTGAATATGCACCACTTCAACCCCAGTGCTGCGGAAGGGGCACGGGGTGGCAGCAGTGTTTCACAGTATTGCTTTTGGTGCTGGGGACACTGTGATCTGAGATCTGGGATGGTAATATATGCCCCCAGAGCCAGGCTTTCTCAGTATTCCCCTTAATTTGCTCTGCTCTATCCCTTTCCTATTCTCTCTGTACAATGAAACAGTAAGTTAAGCAATGGTCAGGAGTCCTAAGAAATTGCCACTTCCCTTCTGGGCATCCTTGAGTTAATCACTTGTCCTTCCTGAGCCTCAGTTTACTATTCTGTAAAATAGGACTAATACTGTCCTCCATTTTGACAAACCAGATTACCATGAGGATGAAATATAGAAACCTTTGGGCATTTCTAAATGTGAGGTTGTATTTACCTTCTGCCCTAAGCTTGGATGTGCCAACTGAGTTACAGGCCAATTAAGGAAGGCGCTCAGGCCATTTTAAAGCTGTGCCTCTGCCCTTACTTCCTGTCAGAATCCCCAGCCCCGGCTAACTTCCATGTGCCCCCACACTTACTGGGGACCTTGAGGGACCTTTGTCCAGCTGTAGGCATAAAGGATAATGGATTTCTTGGGAATGCTACATTTCAGGAGGCTCCAGGAAACACCCTAATTAACATGTCAAGGCGTGCTTAGGAGCCAGGAGCAGCAACTAAGGTGGACTTCTCAGCTTCCCCAAGGACTCCCCTGATGGCCCCAGGCTTGTGGAACTGGGCCTGCTTTTCCTGAGGGCAAATAAGGAGGTGAAGCAAGGGAGTGGGAAGCTGTGGGGGTGGCCCAGAAGCTCAGCTTGCCAGCAGTCCCTGCCTTCTTGGCACCCACAGTCAACTTTTTTAGCCTGCCTAGTAGGTGGCTCTCCTCGTGGTGCCATGTAAAGGTCCATTAAAACACCATTATGATGACATTCAGCAGTCCTTAGGAAAATATATTTGATACCAGTGTTTCACTCATTGAAGAGTTCAGCAACTAACTCTTGAATTTATACTTTAAAAGGAACTCATGGGATTAGAATATGGGAAAGTGCCTTAGGTAGAGGGCAGGGGGAGGTAATGAGCAGTAAAGGGAAAAGTCTGGATATACTCATTGAACTTGTGAAAAGGAACTTGGGCACAGGTGGCATATATACGTATGCATGCATACACACGTATGCATGCACACACACAGTCTGACTTTCAGAGAAAGGGCCAGAGAGTTGCAGAGCCAAAAAAGAGACAAGGTGGAGCTGTGCAGCTCAGTTTCTGAGACCTAATATATTGCTAACTCTCTAGTGTGAATATATACAATAGCTCACTGGAGGATATTTGCATTTAGAACCCCTTCCTCCATCCTATTTGTGCTAGAGGAACAAAGAAATGGATCCCTCATGATGGAATTCATATGTCAGGGCTCCTGGAAATGGGGGGGGGGGACTGTCTTTGGGGAAGAGCAGGAAATTTCACAATTCTCAGAAGATCCCTCTAGAGTTGAAGAACTTCCAGCTAGGAACCATGGAATTCTTCCTGTGTGCATCCCAAAGGCCGTGTTCTCTCCTAAGTCCAGGCCTACACCTCTGGTAGGCATTCAGGAGGCCTCCTGTAGTTCTGGGCTGTATCACTTCTGCTCTGAGGAGTTTGTTCTTCTCAGAAACTGAATGACAAAGGCCCCCAATTCTCCAGAATTGAGCTTCTTGGGAATAGGAGGCAAAAGAGGAAGAGAATAGGCTAAATTGTCAGGTCTTTGATTTTCCATCTCCTTTCTTAGACCAATGTGAGTTCCAGTGTTTTCATATATTGGGGATTCAATACTTGGAAGAGAACTCTGCAGTCTGACCAAGACTTCTCGTTGTCTCTACCGAGTGCTATGATTTTCATTATTTCCCCAGAACCATGCTTCCATGGTTTCCAACAAAAGGTTGATGCTTCTGAGAGCACAAAGGTCAGGCTGGCTTGCATACTAAGCAGTGTGCTTCCAGATTGCGTTTGCTTGCTGTGCTCTGAGATAACAGCAGGAGGTAGTTGCAAGAGCAAAGGGCTGGGAATCCAGAGAGCCAGGCTTATGTCTTAACTCTGACACTAAGGAGAACCTGTATGACTATGAGGGAGTCACTTCCCCATTCCTGGGTTCCCTGTTTGTAAGACAGCAATATTCATGCTGTGATTTAAAGAATATTTTCCTGATCTGACATTCCAAATCTTGTGCTTACTGTCTTCCTGAAGGACCAAGCTCTGCTGATGTGGTCCTTAGCCCAGGGAGAAAGCCTTAGGACTAGTCCTTGGTGTATGCTGTGGCACTCACATCACTGAATCCCACCAGGCACACAGCAACTGGAATTGCTCTGGGCCCATATTATAAAGGTGACAGCAGGGTCCCCTTTTCAAATTAGAACACCTATATGCCTTCCCTTCATCCTGAGCATTCTCTTCAGCCCTGTCTTTGCAGCTGTCTCTAGTTTTTTTTTTTTTAAATGTTCTAACTCTGAATAATAGGCAATTTTTGTCACAAAGATTGAAGACATACAAACTATTGAGTCAATTCATTTCTGTTTTTATGTGTCTTTCCAAACTGAGGGAACAGCAGTACTTAATGAAATGCTACTCTGAAATTCAAGCTTTAATATTATAAACAGGTTGTGTGTGTTATGCACATCTCTCTGAACAGTTGTCTATCCCCCCCTACAAAATACTGTTTTATTTATCTAGCTTTACAAGCCTGGGGCTCAAGAAATTAAAAGGGGAAGATAATGGTAGGGTGCTGTGTGCAGACCAATGACTGTCCCTCTTCTGATGAGAGATTGCTACCATTTCACTAAAAGTGGGAGTGAATGGAAGAATTAGTTCATGCAGGATTTTTAAATCCAAGGCCTGGAACCATAGGCAGCACACCAAACTCTGCTCCAGGGACAATCATCTCACTTATTTGGGCCTCAGTTTCCATTTATAAAATAGCCCAACCAGGTACCTCCAAAAAGGTGGCTTAGGGGTAAAGAGGAATCCAATCTCAAGTGAACCTTTTTAAAGAGGAGAGAGCAAAGATTTGGAGAGTACATTGCCCTGCAGTTTAACCAGGACTCTATGAGCACTGTCATAACCTCAGTTTTCTCATCCATGAAAATGGGCTAACAGGACTGGGGTTGGAGCTCAGTGGTAGAACACTCGCCTAGCACATGTGAGGCGCTGGATTCGATCCTCAGCACCACATAAAAATAAATAAATGAAATAAAGGTACTGTGTCCATCTACAACTAAAAACAATATTTTAAAAAATCTTTTCTGTTAAAAAATGTGGGCTGATGGTGGCCATCTCACTGGGTTCTCATGTGAATTAAGAAACATTATTTAACACTTCTAGTTCCTGGAAAAGCAGATTTTCAGTAAATGTTCCTTTCTCTTCCCTTTTGATTCTGAATATCTTTGATTTGAGGTCTTTGTTGTATTTTCTACATTACTAACACACAGATTTAATAATGGGTGACTGGCTGTGGGCCTAACTGTGACATAGGCTGGCTTTGTCCCCATCTTATTTCCTTATCTGCGATCTTTTCTCACCCTTTTACTGCAACACTCCAGTGCTCTCCTGCCTGAAGGGTGGGGAAAGCTTCTGATCCACTCAGTGAAATAGAGGAATGGGTATAAAACATGGCTCCTTATAAGAGACATCAACAAGAGAGGAGGAAGACAGCAAGGCTTAAGCCTAATGAATGATCCTCCCTGCCAATAATGGGATCCTATGAAACTCAGAAAACAGGGCAGCAGGGGAGACGCTTGGGGAGCTGAAGTGGAAAGTAGAAGAGAGTCATAGGTAAGTTAAGAGGAGCCCTTACTGGGTCAGCCCTACTCTAAACTCTTGACACTCATCTTCAGTTCCATTCACTTCAAAAGTTAATGGTTGATGTAGCCAGAGGGGTTTTGATGTGAGCAGCTCCTCAAACCACAGCTGTTGGGATTTAAAAACAAGGTCAGTTTCACATTCAGCTTGCATGAGCCAGGGCTGGGCAAACCTATCTGTCAGCTGAGCCATAGGCTCCCTAGTTCACAGAAGTAGAGTAGAAAGAGCACCAAGCTGGATGCCAAGGAAACAGTTTGAATCCCTGTTCTGCCTCTAGCTCACTGTGTGACCCTGGATAAATCACTTGACTTCTCTGGGATTATTCGCTGACCTTGGTAAAATAAGAG